ATGTGGACAACATCCGGATACAGGTCGCATGTTAATGCCAAGTGTAAACGCAGCCATGGATTATTTTACAGATCTCCTTGCTACGTCTCTGGACTTGGGAACATTTCAGTTGTGTTGCTGTCTATGCAGGGTCAGACAGCTCTCAGATTCCATCAAAAATATCTTAATTTGTGTTCCGAAGATGAACGAAGGTCTTACGGGTTTGAAACGACATGAGGGTGAGTAATTAATGACAGAATTTTTTGGGTGAACTAACCCTTTAAACACAGTTAACGTCATACTAGAAGAGACTTCATGTACTGCATTATTATTAATAACTGCATATTATTCCTACTATTACAAAAAATGCAAATTAACCTTAAAAAGAATCTAGAATCAGAATTACTACTTCTTTTAAAAATATTTTAGAGAGCTTAAATTTTTAATTACAGTAAATGCTACTGAAGACAAAATGTTTGAAATATGCTGATGTATAAAAGGACAGGAAATATAACACAATAAAAACCACACACACACACACACACACACAGGCGCTTCATAGGACTGGTCATTCTGCATTGACCGCTACCTATGATGCACACATGAAATATATTCTGGTGAAGACTGATGGGAATTTAAAGAATGTAGAAGCAAATTGAAAGAAAGAGAGAGGCCATGTGCAAATCAAGAAAGCGAAATGAAGATGCTACAATACCGCTGATGGTGATGAGGGTGGAGTGACGTGGGGACAGAGCTGAAACTGAACTCAGATCAGCTGAGAGCCATGGCATGCTGTCAGAGAGGAGAGCCACACCAGCGACATGAATCACACTCATACGGTGGACAGTGATGAGGCTCATATTACCAGTAAATGCAGCAGTGGAAAATAAAATAAAAGTCTTCAGCGCAGGAAAGAAATAAAGAGCAAATTAAAGGCATGTTGGAAACCAGCAATCTGACAGATCAAAAATAAAAGCAAGATCTGGAGGAAACATCATCTTGTTGATGCACAAAACTTGTGAGGCTGAAAGCTGCTGATACATGTGTCTGTGAAATAAGAGTAAAGACCTGTAGTTTCTTCAGCTGCTTGTTGACTGTGGTCAGGTCCTGGCCGTAGTCCACGTGTGCCAGGTGTCCCTCAAGCTGCTCGAGTCGCTGGTCCAGGCTGGAGTAGCTCTGTACCAGCAGGTCGGCCCGGTTGGCCTCGAACAGCTGCCGGGCTTTGGCTTGTGTGGTGCTCTCCAGATCCTGCCAGCACTCACGGATCTCCTCCAGCTTCTTCTTCACCAGCGCGCTCAGCTCCGGCTTCTCCTGCATTAACCTCTGGCCCTCCTGAGAAAACCGATAACACACAGAGAAAACCATCAGTAATCAAAGGTGAAAACTAGTGGCACAAAATGGAACTGCACAAATAAATGATAGCTTCCAGATAGGATTCCCAAACACTGCTACCCTTGTGAAAAAAAGAAATAAATAAATACAAAAGTGCACTTTAGCATATTATTAGTGTTTATTATGGAAATATTTATTTTTAAGTGTAGGCTGAATATGTTTTCAGATGCTTATTTGCATGTTATTTATAATTAAATTATTATAATTATAGTTATTAATGATATAATTATAATATTACAACTTTATATGTAATTTCATAATTGAAGTAATGATAAAACTTGTATGTCATGTATTTAAACATATTTGTAATTACACATTTCATATACATATTTTTCATTTGCATATGCCTGTTGTTCAACACAAAATAAGTGTATACAACATATTAATTTTGTTCAGTGTATATATATAGTTGAAGATTAGTAGCCCCCCTATGAAATTTCAGTTCGTTTTCAGAGATTTCCCAAGTGATGTTTAACAGAGCAAGGGAATTTTAACACTGTATTTCTTATTATATTTTTCATCGATGATTTATGATGCAGATGATCATTGAAACACGTCATCAGTTTTGTGACATATATATACACCGTTGAAAACAAAATTATTAGCCCCCTATGAAATTTCAATTCTTTTTCAAATAACTAATTTTTCAACAAAGCAAGGGAATTTTAACACAGTATTTCTTATTATATTTTTCATCTGGAGAAAGCCTTATTTATTTCAATTTTGCCTGGAATAAAAGAATTAATTAAAAAATTGCTAAGGTCAATATTATTAGCCCTCTTAAGAAATGATCTGTTTGATTGGCTACGGAACAAACCACTGTTGTTCAATGACTTGCCTAACTAACCTAACTTGCCTAATTAACCTAATTAATCGTCTAAGCCTTTAAATTACACTGTAAACTGAGGATTAGTATCTTTCAAAACAACTAGTAAAATAATATGTACTGTCATCATGGCAAAGACAAAAAAAATTAGTTTAGACTTGAGAAAAAGAATTGTTAACGCTCACAAAGGAGGAGAAGCATATACACATTTATCAAAGCGTTTTCAAGTGTCAAGATCAGCCGTGAGAAGTATTATCAAGAAGTTTGAAGAGACCCACACAGTGGAGAACAGAGGCAGGAAGTGAAAGATTTCAAAAACTTTGTAAAGAAAACCATTGAGAGAGGTTTCTAAAGACCCAAGAACGACTGCCAAGACACTAGTGAATGATTTAGTCAAGTCTGGGATTGATATCTCAACGAAGATGGACACTAGAGGCCCGGACAGGAATGGACTGCGAGGTTGCCGACCAAGAAAAACTCCTCTTCTAAAGAAGAGACACTTCCAAGCTAGACTGAAATTTGAAGGACAACCTGGAGAAAAACTATGTATACTAGAAACGTGTCCTTTGGTCAGATGAGACAAAAGTAGAGCTCTTTGGCCATAGAGAAATGTTTGGAGTACGTTTGGAGCCTATGTTTGGAGTAAGAAGGGACAGGTGCTCAACCCAAAGAACACCATCTCCAGAGTGAAACATGGAGGAGGGAGTGTAATGCTGTGGAGATGTTTCAGTGCGTTTGGAACTAGGAATCTCGTCAGGGTCGAAGGAATCGTGAAAACGGAAGACTACGAGAAGATCTTGAAAGACAACCTGCAACAAAAGATGGTTTGGGTCGATGGTTTGTCATAGCGACTCAAAGCATACCTCATTTCTGGTGTAGAACTACTGTACCTCCAAATGAGCAAAGTGAACGTCCTTGACTGGTCTGCACAAAGCCCAGACTCGAATCCAATAGAAAATCTGTGGGGCTCACAGAAGACCAGAGTCCATGCCAGGAGACCAACAAATCTGGAGGAACTTGAGAGATTTGCTAAGGAGGAATGGGCTGCGACTCCTCAGGAGACATGCCTGAAACTTGTTGAGAACTACAACAAACAACTAAAGGCTGTTATCAAGCAAAAGGGATACACCATTGACTACTAACATCAGAGGGCTAATAGACTTTTTTTTATTCTTGGTTATAATTTTGCTTCTATTTGTATTACAAACATTCCAAGCTTCCTAAATAAACTATTATGTTTAGAAATGCTGTGTTGAAAAAAACTTCTCTCTGTTAAACAGCACTTGGGAATTATGAAAAAAAATAATGAAATATTTTATAGGGGGCTAATAATTTTGTCTTCAACTATATATAACTATATATATATATATACACACACACACATTTAAAAATTTGACTGTAAAATGAATTTGTGCAGTAAACGGTTAGAGTCATGACTTGAACTGAATCAATGGATTTTTTTTAGCCAGTTCAATTAAACTGAAAGACTGGAATCACTTAAATGTATCAGACTTCTCAAAACTAAACAAGCGCATAAAAGCCAACATGTTCCAACATGGAAACAACAATAGCATAAACATCCTCCATCTCTGCTTTTAGCAATAAAAGCACAAAAAAAAAATACACTGGCTAAATCCGATGAACTAGTCATTATCAGCTCACAGTGATCACAACTCGGTGTAACAGAGTGCTGACGACTGTGATTCACACGAGTACAGTTGGCCGCATCTGGACTCCAGCCTACCTAAAAGAAAACCACACCTGCGTCACTTCAGATCAGCTCAGGACAGAGAAAGCTGATCTAACGATGAGAGCAGATGCTCCATCACAGACGCACACAGATTATATAACTGCTGAAGACACTCATCTGTGCCTCCGCATTTAGATTAAAAGACTGGTTGCCCACTGAAGCTAAGCAGGGCTGAGCCTGGTCAGTACCTGGATGGGAGACCTCCTGGGAAATCTAGGTTGCTGTTGGAAGAGGTGTTAGGGAGGCCAGCAGGGGGTGCTCACCCTGTGGTCTGTGTGGGTCCTAACGCCCCAGTGTAGTAGTCTCAGCCTCAGACGTCACGCCCACGGACTGCTGGCTGAACGTCTGATGCATATGGCACACAAAAGTGGAAACACTTCAGGAGTTTCGAAGTCGTCATCGGATTGGTTGAATTATACAGGATTTCTGGGAGACGTGTGTGTCGCTTTCTATAACGTTCCGCCTGGAAACAAAGATGCTGTGATGCCAAAACCCCTCACGAAAGAAGAAAGCCGTCGTGTTTACAACTGTGACGACGAGTGCTTATCACGATCAAGTAAACACTGGATTTTCAAAAGTATGTGAAATATTCAAAGTTTGCGGCATAGAATCTTTAAAATATGTCAGAGTTTTACACATCCGGCCTGTTATTGTGGTGACATTTCAATGCCCCGAAACGTGACGCTGAACGAAACGAACTGTGATTGGAAACACTTCAGGAGTTTCGAAGTCGTCATCGGATTGGTTGAATTATACAGGATTTCTGGGAGACGTGTGTGTCGCTTTCTATAACGTTCCGCCTGGAAACAAAGATGCTGTGATGCCAAAACCCCTCACGAAAGAAGAAAGCCGTCGTGTTTACAACTGTGACGACGAGTGCTTATCACGATCAAGTAAACACTGGATTTTCAAAAGTATGTGAAATATTCAAAGTTTGCGGCATAGAATCTTTAAAATATGTCAGAGTTTTACACACCCGGCCTGTTATTGTGGTGACATTTCAACGCCCCGAAAACGTGACGCTGAACGAAACGAACTGTGATTGGTTGTTTGACATGTCCGTCAAACGGCCTCATGGGCGGGCCTTGGCCAATAAAAGCTGCCATGGATTCCAGACCTTCAGCCGTCAGTTAGAGACTACCAGTATAGTGACGGGGACACTATATTGTAAAAAGCACCGTCCTTCGGATAAGACGTTAAACCGAGGTCCTGACTCTCTGTGGTCAATCCCATGGCACTTCTCGTAAAAGAGTAGGGGTGTAACCCCAGTGTCCTGGCCAAATTGCCGCCACTGGCCCTTGCCAATCATGGCCTCCTAATAATCCCTATTCATTGAGTTGGCTCTATGACTCTCTCTCCTCTCCACCTGTAGCTGGTGTGTGGTGAGCGCACACTGCTGCACACTGGTGGTGGTTGAGGAGAGACCCCCCACATGATTGTAAAGCGCTTTGGGTGTACAGCAATACACAATAAAGTGCTATATAAATGCCTCATTCATTCATTCATTCATTCAAGTACTGTACACTTATTTTGATGTGTTGAATAACATACTAAAGCACATGTAAAATGCTTGTTTAAGTGTAGTGTGTTATTCAAAATTACATTTAAAATTAATATATTTTAAATGTAATAATTCCTCATTACAAATGCTTAATTGCAAAAATATTTAAATACTTGACATACAAGTTTCAATAGAAATTAATAGATATTTAAAATTTATCATTAGCAATGTTTCACATTTGCAAACTTATAGGGATAGTTCACCCAAAAATGAAAATTCTGTCATTAATTGCTCACCCTCATGTCGTTCCAAACCCGTAAAATTAAGATATTTTTGATGAAATCCGAGAGCTTTCTGACCCTGCATAGACAGCAACGCAACAGAAATGTTGCCAGACCAGGAATGTAGTAAGCACTTCGTTAAAATAGTCCATGTGACATCAATGGTTCAACTGTAATTTTATGAAGCTAAGAAAAGAAAAGAAAAATAACGACTTTTCAACAATTCTTATCCACTGTGCATCATCAGCTGCAGGGCTTGTTTATGAGCAGAGGAATGCACACGCATGCGTCGAACATTTCAGTTGCATTGCTGTCTATGGAGAGTCAGAAAGCTGTCAGATTTCATCAAAAATATCTTAATTTGTGTTTCGAGGGGTGAACAAAGGTCTTACAGGTTTGTAACGACCTAAGAGTGAGTAATTAATGACAGAATTTTTATTTTTGGGTGAACTAACCCTTTAAGTACTGTATGTATTTTAACAGTATATTATATATTTATTATATATTTTTTAACAGTACTCTAAATGTGCTAAAGTGTACTTCTTTTTCACAAGGGTAGTGCTCATAGTGTTAGGGGTTTGA